GGCAGCAGGGCAGGCCCTATGAGGAGAGGCTATGGGACCTGAACCTGTTCAGCCTCCACAAGAGAAGGCTGAGGGGGGATCTAGTGGCCTGTTATAAACTAGTCAGGGGGGACCAGCAGGCACTGGGGGAGTCCCTGTTCCCCCGAGCACAGCCAGGAGTGACCAGGAACAACGGTCACAAGCTGGCAGAGGGGAGATTCAGGCTAGACATCAGGAGGAGCTACTTCACGGTCAGGGCGGCTAGGGTCTGGAACCAACTTCCAAGAGAAGTGGTGCTGGCTGCTACCCTGGGGAGTTTTAAGAGGAGGTTAGATGAACACCTTGCTGGGGTCGTTTGACCCCAGTATTATTTCCTGCCATGGCAGGGGGTCGGAATAGATGATCTGCTCAGGTCGCTTCCGACCCTAGAAACTATGAAACTATCTCTTTGGAGGCACTTCAGTCAGAAGCTAGTAGGGTGTTATATCTTGCTTTCTATTATTTATGGCTAGCTGCGTAAATAGCTCTAGGAAAATACGTAACCACAAGGCCTCTTCCTAAGATATCTGTGGGTTATTTAAGGCAATCCCCATCTCTTTTTAGCTAATTAGTGTTTCAGTCACTGAGGAGCAGCATTGGATGCTATCTGCCCTGCTGTCTCTTTCCAGGTGGGGCTGCCTTCATGCCCAGGAGCCTTGCTGATAGGGCGCTGGCTCCATTTTCTTGTGTTTCCTGAGACCGGTGGGGGGAACAAAGCTTGATTCCTCTCCTTAATCTCTCTTCTCACCTCGCTGAAAAGTAAGGGGCTGCTACTGCCCTTGTGAAATCCACCGGGGTGAACTCTGAGAGGAAATAGAAATTACCTCAGCTTTACCTTGTGGGGCTGTCTGCTTGGCTTGTGTTTCCTCACAGCGGTAGCAGGCTGGTGCCTCCTCACGGAGGTGCAACCCTGCTTAGCCAGGGTCTTTCCTTTCACAGTGTCTCCAGTTCAGTGTTGGCCACACCAGCCCTGGCTTTCTCCTCAGCTCACTCAGTCCTAGTCAAGGTCCCCTCAGCCCTGAGCATCCTGCTCATGTAGATCCTTAATCTGCATACAGGACCACCGCCTAACGCAGGAGGTATATGGTCCCACTGAGGGAAATGCCTTGCTGGACTTCGTGTTAGCTGCAGGGAATGACCTGGTGGGAATCTGCAGGTACAAGGTAACGTAGGGGATGGTCACCACCGACTGATTGAATTCACTATCTGGCAAAGGGTGGGTAAACTAACCAGTAGGGCTGAAGTGCTAGACCTCAGAAAGGCTGACTTCAGTGTGCTCAGGAGATTAGTTAGTGCGGTGTTAAAGCTCAACACCATAGGCGAAACGGGAGTCCAGGAAGGGTGGTCGTTCCTCAAGGGAGTGATCCTATGGGCGCAGAAGAAGACAATCCCATTGCACATAAAAGGGGGCAAAGGGGCCAATAAGCCCTCTTGGCTGAACTGGGAAGTCCAGGAAAGCCTAAGGGCAAAGACTGTGGAAACAAGGGGAGCTACCTTGGCTCGCACTTGCAGGGAGTCCGTCAGAAAGGCCAAAGCAGGATTAGAACTTAGGCTGAGGGCAAAAACTAAAGACAACAAAAAGTCCTTCTTCACGAAGCCAAAAGAAAGGCGCAGGGTAGCGTAGGACCCCTACAGGACAAACTAGACCAATTGGTGACAGAGGGGGGGGACAAAGCTGAGCTCCGCAGTGAGTTCTTTGCATCTGTATTCCTAGACACAGACCAGTTGGATCGTAGACAGACACAGGAGGGACACCAACCCACCAATTGTTAGCGGAGGCTGAGTGAAGAGGCACTTGGATGGCCTGGATGTGTTCAAATCAGCAGGCCCGGATGAACTTCACCCAAGGGTGCGGAAGGAATTGGCCAGTGTCATAGCAGAGCTGCTGGCACGACTCTTGGTGGTCTGGCCAGGTCCGAGAGGACTAAAAAGGGCCAATGTGGTCTCTATTTTCAAGAAGGGGAGGAGAGAAGAACCAGGAAACTATAGGCCAGTTGGTCTCACCTCTGTCCTTGGGAAAACTCTGGAAATTTCCCCTCCATGTGGCACTGCATCTAATTTTGGGCGCCGCACTTCAAGAGGGATATGAAGAATCTCGAGAGGGTTCAGAGGAGGCCACTCGTATGGTCAGAGGCCTGCCGGCAAAGCCCTACAAGAGAGACTGAGGGACCCAGATCTCTTCAGACTTCGCAAGAAGAAGGCTGAGAGGTAATCTTGTGCCTGCCTATAAATTCATCAGGGGAGGGAAGCAGGGAATCGGAGATGCTCCATTTACTAGGGCACGCCTGGAGTAAGTAGGGACAATGGCCACAAACTGACAAAGAGCAGATGTAGGTTGGACACTAGAAAGAACTTCATCCCAGTGAGGGTTGCCAGAATCTGGAACGGGCTCCAAGGGAGGTGGTGCTCTCCTCTATCCTGGGGGTCTTCAAGAGGAGGCTGGACAAGCATCTAGCTGGGGTCGGCTGACCCCAGCGCTCTTTCCTGCCCAGGGCAGAGGGTTGGACTCAGTGACCTACTGAGGTCCCTTCTGACCCTAACAACTATGAATCCCTGAGACCCTCTAGCAGCAACGTGCCCCTTCTGTCCCCCTCCACACTCAGGGTCCAGCAGGCACCCCCTCACACTGCTGAATCTCCTCTGCCCTTTCCTTTCTGTCTCCCTCATACCAGGGAAGGTCCCCCTCTCCCACGCCCAAGTCAGTAGTGCCCCCTAAAAGGGCCTTGCTCCCTTTCTCTTTCTTCTTTATAATACAGAAATGAGGGGGCTCCATTGCACAAAGCTACGGTGACATTTGGGGTGCCAGGGAAGCACTTAAGGTTGTTTGTGTGGGATTTGGTGTCTCAAATGCAGAGGGGATGATCAAAGCAGCCATTCTGCTATCTGAAGGCCAGCTGCTTAGCAGTATATGTTGATGGGGCAGTGCTGGTCGAGAGTGGCCCTATTCACCATGGTTCAAGTGCTAGGTTCAAAACACGCTAAATTCCTGCTGTGGTGGATTAATGCGGGGTTATAACACGCCGCCGTGGATGCAATGCCTCTATCAGGAGGCAAGCGACTGCTGTATTTATGGTTATACCACTTGAGATCAGAGGCTCAGTTAGAAAAAATAACAAGTGCTTTTAATTAAGAAGCTTAATGCAACTATGCTTACTTCAGATGACACACAAACAGAAACATTATGGCTTGTTCACAGGTCCCCCAGAAAGACTAACTGGGTGACAGTATACCAGGCCAACAGAACATACAGCACAAATGTTGAATGATTGTACTGAGCTTTCATTGACCAGTAAGGCCAACAAATATTGCTTCCCTCATGTAAGTTTTTTTTGAGGGAGCCATTAGGTTCGCTTGCTAGGTTTAGGTGAAGCTTATGAGGCATAGCTACATCAAAGAGCCCTGACAGGGAGCACCTTGTTGAAGCAGTACACACATAGGATTTATTATCATGGGCCTGGTGCCTCTCTACATTACTTCCACTTCAGATTGTAGTGTGCTTGGAGAAGGCAAGCTCTGCTTTACAGTGATCCTCTCAAAAGACATGCCCCTGGAGTCCAAGGCATTGTAAACCCCATGGACCTTTTCTATTTACCCAAAGAACCTTGTCTACCTATGTCCTTAGACCAATATGGCTACAACCTATGCCCCTATATTTGTACTTTGACATTCATCAAGAACCTTTCTGTTCCCTGTACTTTAAACCCAGGTTTGTACCAAGGTTAATTACATTTAAAGAAACTAAAGGCATTAGGCTTCTGGATAAAGAGGCTCAGCCCAATTTTAGAGTGAGAATTACTCTCCAAAAGCTAGTCTAGCAGAAGCTAGTGGAATACACACACACACACACAGAATAGAAAACTTGAGTTTTTTTTAGCATTTTTCCCATTCTCCTAACCCACTCTTTTTCATGCAGTCTCTCTGCGTGGTTTTCCTCTCTGCTCCTTTTTGTTTTTTACTGTCTCTCCCACGCAGACCTTGAACCTGGTTTGAGCTCAACTCTTTGATCTATGAGGCCAGATGCTCAACTGGTCTCAATCAAGGTAGTTCCTTTAACTCTACCATATATAGGGCTCTCAGTTGACAGCAGTGGAACTACCACTGATTTACTCCAGCTGATCAGTTTGCTCCAGGTGTTTAATTTCAAATTAGCCAAAGTAATTAGCCAATCCATACCTCAGTTCTTTTGCATTATTTCCATTAAGGCACCCATCCAAAGCACATTTTTGTACTGTAGCCCATCAATCCCATGTGTTTGTCTAGTGAACACATGATTGACCTGTGTCTTACACATAAAGCCTCTAGCAGCATAAAAGTCCTGGTCACATTCAAGAGCTGGGCTTGCTTGTGAGAGAAGCTGACTAACTGATGATCAGCTGAAAATGCAGCAGAAAAAGCAACAGATTTACAAGCAGTCAAACTGAAAATATAAGGCCTCAGTCTTTATGCTGAACTCCGTGTGTGCACTGCTGGCAGAGAGTAGCTTGATATACCAGTACTGAAGTACACTGCCTCAGCATAAATCTGGAATTGCAATGATGTACACCAGAGAAGAACTCAGCCTTCAGACTGGTTTTTCTACACTGAAGCCACTGAAGGGGATTTCTTCAGGGCTACCACTAAAAAGATGTCACAGAATCATAGAATCTAGGGCTGTGTGTCATAGAGAAGTAGGGCTGGAAGGGACCTCCATAGGTCATGTGCAATTAATCTGTGGAACTACTAGCCACAGGATATTAGTCAGACCAAGGAAAAAAGAATAGCCATTTATAGGGACAACATGAATATCCAGAGCAGGATTTCAACAAAAAAGGGAAGAGGAGCTTTGAAAACGATGCAAACCTCCTGCAGCAGGGCACAAACCAACCATAACTTCTGGGTGTGAGAAAGGAACTTTCCCCCTTTCCCTGAAGCAGCTGATGCTGGCCGCTCTCAATGACAGGATGCTGGGCTACCCAGACCCTTTCTCTGATCCAGTCTGACAGTTCCTATATTCTCTGAAGTGGGAAGATTATACACTCTGCAGCTCCACTCTGCATGTGCACATCTGCGGCCATACTCTTATTTGCTTTTGGCTTCTGGATTACTCATAGATTTGACAAAGTCTTGGATCTCCTGCTCTAGCACCTTGTTCCTCTTCTCTACGTCTTCCCGTGAGCGCTCCTCATTCCGAAGCTTCAGTTCCAGTGCTGCAGACTTCTTCTTCTCGTTCTCGAGTTCTTCATTCAGCCTAACCACCTTGGCCCAGACATCATAGTTTTCCTTCTCGAGGCTGTAAAGGAGACAGTGCTAGAAAGTTAGCATTCAGCTCTTGGTAATTCTGCCTTCCACGTCATTAAGCAATGCAATACTGAGAGCTTCCTTCCCAAGTGATATGGAACAGGATGTTTCCCTCAGCCTCAATAGCTCCTCTCTTAATGCTTTTGCCCACCCACAAAACCCATAGCAAACAAAAATGCCCTGTTAAAACAATAGGGCAAGTGGGACAGGATAACTAAGGTGCAAACTGTGCCTACTGAAGTAGTACTGAAAATGAACTAAAGCTATAATGGCCTAGATGGAGCACTGTATCCCTATAAAGGGGTGTTGAATGTATTCTGCCTTTCACCAGTAGGTGGAAATGCATGTGGAACCATGGGAAGAAACATGGGCCTCAGGTGGTTTGTTGGCTGTGGGTTACTGTAAGGCCATGCTGTGTTTCCTGAATATGGGCAAGAATTCTTCCACTATGCCACACTGGAAAACTCCTACAGGGACAAGCAGTGATCTGACTCTGAATTTTGTCCCTAACTGCCGTGAGCTGGGAATTTTACAAGAGATCTTTTTTGTCAGAAAATGCAGATTCATAAAAGCCTAAAACTTTTTTTGTGGGGAAGAATGAGTTTTGACAAATCTCCTGGATTTAAAAAAAGTTCTGAGCATTTCAGAACGTCAAATTTCAACACCGTCAAAATGGAAAATGTTGTTTTCTTGTTCAAAATGACTTTTTATGTAGAAATTTAAGCTACAGTAACTTTTTTTTTAAATCAGAATGAAATATTTCCAAATGATCAAAATCAAATTTGGTAAATCTAATTACATGGCACTGTAGTACTGCAAGTAAGCATTTCCATAAGGTATTAATGTTATGCTCATGTGAACTGAGGTCTTTACAACCTCTAGAAGACTGTACTTTGAACCATTTACCTCTTAATTTGTTCCTCATAGTCCCTTTTCTGCATCTCCATTTCTTTTTTTAGCTGTAG